GTCTTCTGGCCTTTCAAAAAAGAAAAAATCCCAAACCTCTCAGAGGTCAGCACTGTGGCTTCTAATAGAAGTCTCCTGAAACTGTAAGGAATGAAACCCTCACCGGGCTTCACAGCAAAGAGGAAAACTGAAGAAAGAGTGAAGTGGAAGAACATAGGTCTACAAAAGCTGACCAAAACACACAGAACACCAGTAAAATCTGTACTTCTAAGTTTGTCAAGGCACAGATGTCAATTAGAGCAGACAGATATGCTTCAGAGGTGCAGGACTTTAAGGGACTTCTCACAGACAAAGACTGAACACTCAGTCTCAAATACTAAATTCAATTCTGCAGCCAGCACCAATCCATTCTACAAATGGATGCATCGGTGCCATGTTCCAGAAGCTGCCTGGTTCTCCAAGTTTGTTACCGCCAACAGTGATACTTTCCTCAGCACTCTTCCAAATGCAGCAACAAAATCTAATACTCAATGAAGAGATCTGGACCTCTTACTCCAGTAAGAGCATCCCAAACCTTGCAATAGGAAAAAGAATAATTATTATATTTAATAGATCCTTTTCTAAGATATCTGTGAATTAATTAACCTGCACTCGCTGTCAGAGCAGGATTAATACCGTAGCAAAGAATCCATTAACCTTGTTTCAGCAAGAGTATCCTTTGCCAAAGAATTAAGTTTCATACTGAACAGTGGCCTTTGCCAAAGCTATGACACACCTACACTATTTACATTGACAAATTTCTCAGAAGGAAGGGGTTATGGACTCACTAAGCTCTGTACATAAGGTTGTACATAAGTTCCTCACTTAGATGCCAAGAGGATCTGAGTTGCACGTTCAGTAAAAGGTTATGTTCCAGAAAATTCACTTAAGAAAAAAAAAAGAATGTCAGGACTTGACTATACATGAACATGGTTTCTTTTCAGACTTACACCAAATACTGTCAGATAAGAAGTGCTGTGGCTTACCTGGCCAGAGGGGAAAAAAATAGACTTGATTTTGAAACAAGCATAGGCTTCCCTTTTTCTCAGCATAGATGAAACTATCACATTTAGTGTCTATCAATGTTTTCTAAGATAAGAACATCACCAGTTAGGCAACTCTTCAAGAACACAGGAAACAGCTTAATTTGCACATTCCCTCTAATGCATCATGACATCACATCCGAGAGACTTAAACTCGAGTCAAAAGTCCCATGCCAGTAAAGGCACTTCCAAATGCTGTCACAACCTTAGTATGCCAAAGCAGCTGGAGCAAAACCAGGCACCCCGCTCTCCAGCTTGCACTCCTCCCATGGGGACAAAGTAGTGTCACCACCTTGTAAGCAACTGATCATACTCTGGACACATTAAGTCTGCGACGGACCACCACACAGTTAACACAAAGACGAGAAGAAGCTGAGGCAAAAGCCACAGTTACCCAGATGATTTGCAAAGCCTAGGATTCTAAAGTACAGAGCTTGAGTATTTCTGCTCGAAGCTCCTGAAGGTGAACCAATCTCAACAGCGGTCATTGAAAGAGAGCAGCCTTCTCTCCCGGAGTCAATCAGGTACAAGCCCAGATAAAAGCTGTTGAAAAACATGTTCTGATCCACACTGTATGCCTCCTGATGGACGACTGCTCCCCTCACAAACAAATAACCTTCACTGTTTAAAGAACATACTGAATTCTCAAACATTTCCAAACGTGACCAAAAAAACTATTTGGGGCAAACAGGGATGTTTACCAGACATTCTTAAAAATAATTCTCAAGTACTACTTTACACAGAGCTGTCCTATCAAATTCAGTTTCATTTCTGGCACTAATGACTGTAAAGATTACGCTTGTCACCTCTCCTAACCTAACCACGACAGACAGCTGCTCCAGAAATAGTCACAGCAGTGACTGCTGCTCACCTGGAAGCTACTAAACTCTTTTCCCCACAGCTGATTCACATTAAACAAACCACGTGTCACCTCACTGCAGTACAAAAAGCTGACAACTTTGAACTACCCCTGCAGAAGACAGAGTGCTTTCTTCTACATGAAACAGGAGACCAAAGTTACTGCAGCGTTCATGAGGGAGAACAGTCAAGTCCCAAGTTATGGGCACGGGCTAAACCACCACGAACACTGACTTATGGACGGTGCTATACACACCTGCAAAAGCTTGCCTGTCCACACTCTGAACTGCTATTCTTCAACACTCTAACCCGGGCACTTAAAATTACAATTTGTCAGCTATTTTATTCCAGATTATTTTGAACCCAGCTAGTTTTACACTGGTCTGCATGAACTGACAGCAAGGCATCTTCACTTCACAACATGGGCAGCTGGTTAATTACATTCCACACCTTCTCTTTACATCATACAATTATCCAGGCTTTCTTCCCATGTTACCATACTTCCTCTGCACTAGTCCTGCACTGTTGCCAATATACAAGACTTCAGCTTTATATTGAAAATAATTTAGCCATAATTCTACCTACCTTCTAAATATGCAACAATTGCCTATCAAGATCAGAATCTAACAGTTCTCCAGTTTATGCCCATTTTTTATATTGATGTTGAAGGCACTGGGGTAAAACAGCAACCTTCAGTGTCACTGAGAATGGAACAGCATAAAGCCAATTATTCCTATGAGTGGCAGTTTTTTAGTTTTCAGGTGTTAAGGAATTAGCGTAGTCTGTGTTCTAGCAAAATAACCTCTATAACTTCATCCATGATCAATGAAGGATCTTATTTATCTCATTCCATTGTTCTCGTGCTGATGTGTTTCATTTAACTCTAACGGAGATGGCTGTCTGAGCCTAGTTTTCATGGTCAAATCTACACACAAACCAGGGTAAGAAACTGAATTGAGTTTGGGTTTTTTTTTTGACGCCTATAAACGTAGCAAGAAGTCTTCAGCTGAACACCAATTTCTACTATATTTCAAGATTTACTAGAGATTTGCAGACTGAAGGTTTCTTCTGAATCACCAGCCACATCTGATGGACCTACCGTATGTGCTTCAGATAATAAAGCCTGTAAAAACCTCCTATTTTTTACAACAATGAAGGATTTGAAATAAAATGGCTGGAAAGAACAATTGAGGGGAAGCTACAGAAAAGAATAAAGTTAAGAAGTTATTTAGAACATTTCTAGCTGTGAATGCTTAAACCATTAAGTTATCTTTTAATTAACGCTAATTCTTTTTTGCATAAGCAGTTATCAACTCTAACAGGGCTGGTATGGTACATCTGCACACCTACCTACTAACTGGTTGTCTTTTAATCATTTGCTAGTTCTATTCCTCTGTCGCATCTACAGCCTTTATATAACAACTGTGTGTACAGTGCAACTGAGCAGAACGCTTTTATACACACATGTAAAAACGTGCTTATAGTTATTTTTTCAACCAATACAGAAGACACTGTGTGCATCAGCAGAGAAAACCAAAAATATCCCTAACCAATGCTACGGATTTTTCCTGCATCCTGAAAAAACTAAAAAATGTGCTTAAAACCACTGAAAATTTTTCAAGTGAAATTTCAGTAAGCACTAAAATAGTGGTGTCAAATTCAAACCCCATTTGAATATAGCAAGAAATCTTTAAAATATTCCAGAAACAACACTGAAGTCCAAGTTTCTTTCCTTGTTACATGTCTTGGCTTGACACTTTGTTCTCTATAAATACCCTTCAAATAAAAGCCATTAAAAAAAATTTTGTTCTGTCCAAGACTTTCAGGATAGAGCTGGCTCCCATTTACTGAAGCTATTATTGCATTTATCATCCTGAAAAAAAGTCTTTACAGCTCGACGGGACAACTCACTTCAGTGTCTTCCAAAACCTTCAGTTAAAGTGATGTTAAAAGTATTTTCTTCCCCTTCATATGTTTCACAGTAATCAAAACCTACTACGTACTTTTTAGACTTCCTGTGGTTTTGGTAGGTACACTACTCAGAAGAAATAATTAAGCTTTTTGTTTTGGTAAGGGTTTTAAAATTCTTTCATCATCTTACCAGCTCACATAAACCAGCTCCTCCCCTTGTCCCCCCACCCCGCTTGAACAGCGAGCCCAAATACAACTCCTGCAGAAAACCTGCAGACGACACTGCAGAGACTGCATGCATTTGTTAACTTCTACAATTCACCCGTCATTCTTTCATCAAAACACGTACCTTCTAATTACAGAAAGTTATCACAAAAGTACCATTACAGATGTACAAGAGAACTATAGTGGTCCAAACAAGATTTCCATCTTTCAGGTAATATTTCACTATCTCCTCCTTCCCTGACCCTTCCTCATCCACACCTCCTTGAGTTTCATAAAGCCGTACATCTCAAGGCATCTTTGTAGTTCACCATGTAAGCGATTTCAGGGGCTAAGACTCCAAGACAAAGTAATAAGCATCAAATGAACTTAACTACCAAATAGGTGAATGCAACATGTTTGCAAGCTTAGAAATATAAACTTTTACCTCAGTTGTAATGTTACTAGCAGCTGCATTTTAAGCGTATCCAATTTGCCAGCAAAATGGTGTAAGCAAAAATCTTCTGTTAGCAAAGCAGAAATACTGCATGAACTGCAACTTCATTAACAAACTTCAGAGCATCATTTCAGTGAGGCATGCGCTGTTCGAAGAACCCAGGTTTCTAAATTTCAAGCCAACTAGACTTTAAAATGAGTTAACTTTCACAGTTTACAAGCAGAACAAACCATGTCCAAACTACATATTCAAATTTTTATAAAAATTAAGGTTTAACATTTATTTTACATCTAGCTTTCCACACCCATGTGGGGACAAGGAATCAGAATGTACATAACTATAAGCAGTGCAAAAGTGGTGCCAGTGCGAAGTCACAGATGCACAATAAACTGATAGTACAAGACTAGAGAAAATGAAGCTATGGATGTTAAGAATGGAGACAAAAAAAATCAAACAAGGAAAAATATGAAGGAAGAGGGCAGGAAAGAGCCAGATGTTTAATAATGCCCTTGTTGCTGCAAAGATAAACTAATGGCACAAGACAATGTTTCTTGTAGAACAAAAATCCAATAGCAATGAGTCTTTATTCACGTTTAGTCACCTGACATGAGGAAAGTGTCTGTTGCATTAAAATAGTCAATGTAAATGGCAGCATGGCTGAACATGTCCTTTTCAATGGTAACGAACATCCCACATAGTAAAGTCACTTCAACACAGCCTCATGACAATTCCCACATCAAAACAGTACTTTATTTTATATTTTTGCCTCGTCATTACTCCCACATTAAGATCTTTCAGCTGTCAAGTGTACAAGGTGACGAAAAAGGTTCTCAGTCAGCAAACACGGGTGCATCAAGAAGGATCTCCACAATGCACCACTTCAGGTCTGCTGGGTCCCAAGTCCATCCTTGAACGCTGGGCTCCCAGCACCACGTGTAGCACACTACTACGGCTACACTACTATGTTAGCTTATTAATTCTGCATACATCAGGCCGAACAATGTGTCAACCTGCATCAGACTGAGCATTGTAACTGAAAATGGCAGAAGATTCACTCTATTGAACTTTACATCATTATTTGATGTTAAACAATGAGGCAAATCCCAACAGTATATACAAAAACCAGCTTTGCTTTTACAAAAGATTTTGTTTCCCATATTGATTAATCCAGGCAGCTAACTCATTGGTTTATGCAACTTTATTGAAGAAAATAAATCAATTACTAGTAGAGCTATTAGTTGATCACTCATCCATTGACAACTTGCATCATTTATTCAGTGCTATATTAAACAGTGTTTTGGAAGACAGATTAACTAATAGCTCCAAGCCTCCTAACAAAATTTAAATGAATTACAAAAATGTTCTTAGACCCTATTTTGGAATACAAGGGATGTCTGACTTCCAATTTCCATTCTCTGTAAAACAAGAACTGGTCATTCCTTTATTGACATGCATAAGATACATCACATTTTCTGTTCTGCTGATGCTATAGTACCAATTCTCCAGACACACCAGTTATGAGCAAAAGTATATAATAAAACCTCAGTTCTCTAACACTGGAAGGTTTGGAACAAGATGGATGTTGCTACAGCAATGTTACTTCTTTGATGGGAGAAAACTGAACATCCATCTCCCCTCCCCCCTTCAGGTGACATCTTCAGGATCTGTTAGAGCAGTGAGGAATGTTTGTTTGTTTTTAATCTCATAACCAAGTTAGAATGAAGACATTGGCCACATAATACACATGCTCCATTAAAAAAAATTCTGAATCTTGGGCAATTGTTCTTGTGTAACTACTTTACAGATTCTAAAAGCAGTTATTGTCCAAAGCTGGAAGAACTAAAGTCTTCTCAGATGAGCATGTGCATGAATGGAAGGAGGTAAACAAAAAAAATAAAAAAGATGAGGTCTGATAGGGGAGCAGCCGGATAAGAAAAATCAAAAAAAGGAACAGTAATTTAAAGTTTATTCCAGCTATAATGCAGGTTATTCTGACTTTAAGGTAGCATCACATGGCATACTTCTGAGTCCATTCCCGAGATATTCTGTTGTACCTGCAAACAAAACCAGGAATTTAATGAGCATCAACACGAAAACTACAATTTTCCTAAGCAGTTAATGATTACTTATCACTTTACCCCCATCTCCTCATTTTCTCCACACAGAGAAGTCTCTTTCTATACTAAGATACTCTCGAACTGAAAAAAACTGAACAAATCCCTCCCTTAGACAAACTAGGATATTCTCAATTTGTATGAAATATTTCAAAATTAAGACAAACAGATCTGCTACAAGTCTGTTGTGAAAACTACTGAAGGTCAAGGAAGGAATAGAGACCACCTGGGGTAGGAGAGGCAAGAGGAACATTTTGTTTAAATATTGTCCTTAGGTAAAGATTACTGAGTATCACATGCCGTAAGTACAGATTACTTGGTTAATAGTATCATTGGGATGTCAAATTTCCAATTTTAGAGTAAAACAGTAAGCATTTCTTCACACTTAATATTGTCTTTCCACATGAATATACTGCTCAAACAATTTTTAAAAAGGACATTAAAAGAATATTAAAGTACACTACTTCCACAGGAATTGAGCTGACAATTAGTTTATACTTAACTCCATGCTTGTCAGTAAAAAGTTAATTTTCAACTATACAAGCAGAACATAACCCCCATACCTTTTCCTAGTTTACATGTAGAAGATACACACTGCTGAATATTAAAAAGCTGAAATTTGGATTGCCTAAATTCACTCACATCTACACATGAGGTCTCACTACAGGGCATCCCTTTTAACAACATTCTGACAAAGTCTGGGTAAATACTTACCAGAACAACTTGACAAGCTGGCTCAAAACTCAATTATGTCTTACTATGTTGTTTTGGGTTTTTTTGGCCATGCAAGAGCAGTATCTGTGAGGAATAGTGACTAGCCAATACATTTCACACTAACCACAGATCAAGCTGTTAAATATCCAGGTTCAGTAACTGGTGCATCCATTATCTGTTAGTTAATCCAGTGCCTTAGAGCATGCAGCACCCAAGTGCTGACAAGTTTCCATTTTGTTAAATGCACCATAATGTGCAGATATTCTTACCCTACAGCATAGCGTATTTCTCTGTCCACTCTCTTGCTAACCTATTGTACCTAATTGGACAAGTACATTTAACATTAATATATAATAAAAACAAACAGTCTACTTCATAGAATTCTATCTGTGCAAAATGCTGAAAACACAAGAAAAAAAATGTTGTTTCAATGCAGAGGGGAAAAAAAGTTATGAAGGCTTTCTTCAAGGGGAGCACCAAAATTAAAGGCCAAGCTCTTACCAAAAGAAAACACCAAAATAACAAACCCATCTTTTCCTCAACACGAAGATCTAACTATATTCTATTTATGCATAGTAAGCAAAAAATTGAGCAATACATACTTTAAAATACTGCCACACGTATGAGAAAAAGCTAGTCTCTCCTTCACCCACAAAGAGACAAAGTCCCTTCGTTTTTAAATTATGCAGTACCAAGAATAGGTACAACTTTGACACACAAGTTCTCTCCATCCCAGATTTTCACAGAAGGCTCACTCAACACCATTGCTGTCTGCCAATGCACTCTTACAAAGTTTGTTAAAGTATTAATCTTAACGCAACTCTGTACTTACTTGTCTCTGTCTGTTTTATAGATACGTGCAATCTCTGGCACTAGTGGGTCATCTGGATTTGGATCACATAACAGTGAACAAATGGATAAGAGAACTGTTAAAAAAAAAGAATTCTCAATAGCAGAACAGGAGCAACAATCTCAGAAACAGTGCACAGATCTTTGCATTAGCACAATCTCAACATAGGAGATTACTTCAAAAGCCTTTTCCTGATATATGGTCAAAATAATTTTGTAACCCACTCTAAACAAGAGGCCCAGAATGACTTAAAAGTTGGTAACAACTACTTTTTCCTATTTCCCAATACTTACAGCTGTCAGCAAGCACACACAAGAACAGCACTGTTGTCTCCTACTATGATGCAATACAGCAGCCAACAAAAGCATGTTATGTATCCTGATGATCAGCTTTTCCATGGTTTTAATCACTAAAACTAGAGTTTTCGCAAATTATTTTTTATTTTTAAATCAGACTGAATTCTGTCGTAGGTAAGGCTGTAATACCCTGATCTACACTGATAAAACCACGCATGTGTTGTAAAAGGAGTAACACTATTGTAGGCAGCTATAAGGATTTCATCCTCTCCTCTCACAGCAACTTTCAAAGACAAACAATAGTGACAGCATTAAATCATAGCGAAGCCACATTCAAATTACAGACCTACTCCTTGGACAGACAGGAATTACAAGCTCTATAGACAAAGGAGCACTTTGATGATCTTTTGAAGCCACAGTGACCAGTGGCTTTGAGGCAAAACAAAATTTCACCATTGTGAAAATATCTGAAAATTAACTTATTTGCTATAGTAAAATGAGAAAAGCTACAAAGCTTCTACTGCAGCACATCATCAATTTATCATGAAGCAGAATCAGTAAGCTTAGTTCATGAAGCAATGCAATACAACGCCAGTGCACAGTGGCAGAAAGCAACATGTATCAATAACAGTTTTCTTTTCATCTACCACAAAGATATGCCAATATAACCCTGCATGTAGTCAGTCAAAAAACCTATGCAAATCTGAATATTAAACACTGACTTCAAATGATTATTTTAATTAATATGCAAGCATGTATCTACATGGACAGCTGCAAACGAGCAGTTTCTCACCCTTAGCTCAAACAGACCACCACAGGCCTGTTTCAATCCAAATGCTGGCAGATTCTTCTAAGACCAAGCTAGTAAGCTCTGCTAAGAATACTGAAGCAAATAAATGGCCAGACAATGCCTGCTACAGCCACATAGCAGATGGTCTTAGAAAAAATAAATATCCATTAAAAACACAGCAAGATCTCATTATCAACTTGGCAAAACACAGGCTAGAACAAGCAAGGAAAATCAAGAGATGAGTAAGAACTGAAGACAATCAAAGCTAAAAGCACAGCGTTCAACACAAGATGGAAACATTCCTCCTTCACGGAAGTTACCTTTAGAAATAGTTAAAGCAGGAGACCACTGTGATCTTAGAATATCAAGACAAATGCTGCCATTACTGTTAATATTTGGATGATAGATTCTTGTTGTAAATGCAACCTGCAACAACAAAAAATAAAACAAAATATGCAGTGTCTTTTGGTCTATGATGACAATGACGTCACCCTTTCTTCTCACTCAAGGTGTCAGTCAACTCAATTTACTCTAAAAAAATGGATTAAGCACTTAAACTGTATCAAATTAATGGAAATGCACCTCTCAGTTTCCAATTATTAGACACTATTTCAAACACAGAAGGCAAGCATGAGGCTGTTTTAATCACAGGTGCGTGCATGATGATGAAGACACTCGACAGAAGTGCCTGAACCACAGTAACACTGCCATCACAGACCTAAAGAACTTCAAACATTGCAGTCGCTCCAAGTGTGCACTTTCATATTGACTGGAAATTGGACGACAATGCTAGTGGCTGACAAAGCTACAAAAACCCCATGTATTTCACAATTATCACCAAATTCTAACGAATACCACCTTCACTGATTTTAGGCACTCAGCAAGGTAATCCTTATCCATAGTGCCACACTCCGATAGACCAACCCACACAGTTATACTGTAATACCTGACAGTCCCCACAGCAGGAAAAAAGATAACGAGTTTTCCTATAAACTAAGAAAAACAGAAATAAAACCAAACATCATTCCAAGACACCTTTAGAAGTCATGTATATGAATTTGCTCCCAAAATACATGCTAACACAGTATGTCAAAAGAAGCGAGAACTTGTCAGCATCTGTGTTGTAATATTGTCAATTTCTGTCCTTACTGGGTTCTTTAAAGAGCACTAATTTCACAAATGAGAAAGCAGTACTTACCTTAGGTGGTTTGAAAGGGTAGTCTGTAGGAAAGTGAATTGTCAAGAAGAATACACCACCCTGATATGGACTGTCATTCTGTCAAAGCAAACAAATAAGTCTCCTATTATCATCTTTTGGACTAAATATCACTGCAGATGTTGTTTTCAAACAAATAAAAGGAGAGGAATTTTTTTTTAGCAACTGCTTAATCCACCAATACAAGAGAGATAAAATTAAAATTAAATTAGTACTTCGTAAGTCAAACAATACAGAACAGATATAGGTCACTTTCTGTATGAACATCTCCAACCTAATGCTTCATAGAAAACAGCTTCTCAGACAATTCACTCAACTTGACAAAAGCATCTCAATGCCTCTGAGACAGCTCCAAGAAGTAATGTTAACAGAGCAGGGGTCCTGTCAGGTTTAAAAACCTCAAGTTCTGTGTTTGGAGCTTATTTCTTACAAGCACACAAGTTTACAGTGGCCAGAGACAGCTCTAAGGGCCTCCCATTCCTCTTAAGTTTTATCCTTGGCTTAGGTGTTGCTCAGCCCTGGAGAAAGCCTAATAATACACAACTAATTCCTTGCTCCTTAGGAAAAAAACCACAACCAACCAACCCCACAACAACAACAAGAAGCAGCCTCCCACCCTACCAGCACCACCAAGCAAACAAGAAACCCCCAGTCAAGATTAAAGTGAATTCTTCCTCTCTTTCTGTATTAGAAATTCACTGTCATTTGGTATGGAAGAGTATTTTACATTTCCTTGCTCCAAGTAAACAATTATGGGGATAATTCATTCAGGTGTTAACTATTAGCAGTGAAGCAACACATGGAAGTAAAAAGCTGATAGTAAGCACAGAATAAATGGAGTGACTCAATAAGGATAAGTTACTAGTTACAAGGAAAAGGTGCAAGAAGTTTTTACTTGAAACTACAGCAAAATTTCTGAAAGAGAGCTAACAATTTTGTTGCTTAACCTCAAGACTACAATGCTTTCAATTCCAGATTCAGGGCTAAGGAAAATGAATTTGAGACAGTGTAAACTTCTGCATTACGTGTAAACTGAATATTTGTATTAACTGCGAGAACACTTCACCAATGTAGGGA